TGTCTCAGGAGCAGCTGGAGCACGCTGAGGTCAGCACCGCTCTGAGGTATCTGGGTCAGTACTACTTCAAGAACAAACTGTACGACGAGGCGTCTCTCTGCGCTCAGCGCTGCTGCGATTATAACGATGTGAGTTTCTCTTCATCAGTCTACTCTCAACTACTGCCATCCGTTTATTACATATTTAAATGTTACATTATAAATATTATTTCTGATTAATTAACACTAACTCGATAGTAAAATCTGTAGACTATAACTACATGTTTTTAGCGTGTGGTTGAAGGTTGTTGACGTTTCTAGCATCTTTTAGTATGTTGTTAGAACTTTTTAACATGCCAGCATGTTTTAACCTTTTTTTTGTATTAGTAGCTGATATATTTTAAGATTGTTGGCATATTTTAAGGTGTCGTTTAATTGTAAGCATGTTTTTTAGCAGTTGATAGTATGCTGCTAACATGTTTTAGCACTTGGCTAGCATAAGTTATGTCGTCGACATGTTTTATAATTTGGCTAGCATAATTACACGTTGCTAGCATGTTTTAGGAATGTATGTAGATGTCAGCATTAGAATTGACACTAGATCAGAATAAACATGATTGAGGAATCTGTGGTTGGGATGTAACCTACAGCAAAGACTACGGACCCCATATTTGAAGGGGGAAAAAAATGCTTTAGTTTAATGTTAAATATTTCCTCTTTGTAGTTGTTTGGTAGGCTTTCTGCAGTTGAACAAAACAGCAAGCGTAATTAGTGTAACCTGTCAAACGTGTTTGCAAATGCTTGCGTTTCAGGCGCGAGAGGAAGGCAAGGCTCTGTTGAGACAGATCTCTGCGGTGCGAGAGCAAGGAGAGCCGTCATCGACAGACCTGTCTTTACCCTGCGTCTTCAACCCGCTGTCTAGCAACACCACACCCGTCAGGAGAGTGTCTCCACTCGACCTGTCCTCCGTCACACCCTGACACAGTTCTCCTGTTCACACACAGATGCGGAGAAAAACATGTTCATGTATGCACACTGTAAATAACTCTGTATAGACAACGGTGCCCGTCCTATCAAATAAACTGATGAAACTTTGACAGTTGAGTGTTTTATTACATACGCACTCATTTTAGTTTCGACTATACAGTGGAAAGACATTCAAAAGTGACAAACATCTCTAACCACACTAACCTTCCCAAACTCGTGCATAAGAGGAGCCAGAGCAAGAATGTAGTGTTAAAACCTGCATTTGGAAACTTAAAGGAAAAAAGACTTGCATGTGCATTCGGTGACAATAACACTGAATTCCTAAAGCATCACACGCTCAAACCTTTAAACAGAAAGCAGCAACCCATGACAAATTTTAAAATGAAGTAGCATGTTCAGCTTTATGTATAACATACACTTGGAAGACAAATGGAATTTGGAATCAATACTTTTATATTGCTTTTACATTTTGATTTGGTTTGCGTAATATACCAAAAAAA